TGTGTGTGTGTTGAATATATGCTATGTGGTAATTTATGGACCTAATAGGTATCTAACCAGTGATATTTTAGGGAGCAGGCTAGCAGGCGGGATCCATTACGTACATCATAGGAGCCTACACAACACAAAACACTGTTGCTGTATGTAGGTTTTATCTTATGTGTTTTTTATCTTCTATTTTGGAAATGTACACCCAGGTTTTTTTTCTTGGTTTTTTTGGGTGCCCCCAAGAGAGTGGGGCTCTAAGCTATAGCTTGTTCAGGTTATACATAAATCCAGCATTGTCTCCAGTGCTCCAGTGCTCACCAAGAATGCTTCTCTTGTTCTCTTATTATAGCTATAATGTGCACCTGAGACGTGCCGGAACTGAGTTCTGGTGAATTCCAGCTGAAAAAAAGCCCTGCTTATCTCACAATTTGTTGGCATGCCTATCTCTTTGCCCTCTCCCCCAGTTTACTCACGTCAACAGTGATGATTTTTCAGCAGTGACTTCACATTTCTTATATCATGTGCTTTCACAACCAGCGCCGTGCTTCTTCAGTAGAAGTGTCAAGTTAGGTGACGCTGCCCTCAAAGACGAGGTCATTTTGCCATCAGGTTCACCAGGTGTGCAATGTTATTGCTGATGTTGCAATCAGGCAAATTTGGCAATCCCTGGTTTTCATTCAAAACCTTATCACACTCGTTCGGGTATTCTGACAGGAATGGAAACTTTGTGAATGTCTGGATGCATGCTGACATGAGAGCTGGGGACATGTTTACAACAACCATCTTAGGTCATTGTGAGCTGTCGTGGTCCTGCATTCCCAGCCAATATTATTTTCTATTTATTTTATTACTTATTAAATTTATAGGTAAAGGTAAAGGTACCCCTGCCCGTAGGGGCCAGTCTTGACAGACTCTAGGGTTGTGTGCTCATCTCACTCTAGAGGCCGGGAGCCAGCGCTGTCCGCAGACACTTCCGGGTCACGTGGCCAGCGTGACGAAGCTGCTCTGGCGAGCCAGAGCAGCACACGGAAACGCCGTTTACCTTCCCGCTATAAAGCGGTACCTATTTATCTACTTGCACTTAAGGGTGCTTTCGAACTGCTAGGTGGGCAGGAGCTGGGACCGAACGACAGGAGCTCACCCCGCCGCGGGGATTCGAACCGCCGACCATGCGATCGGCAAGTCCTAGGCACTGAGGTTTTACCCACAGCGCCACCCGCGTCCCTAAATTAAATTTATATACCACCCTATACCTGCAGGTCTCAGAGCAGTTCATGGGATAAAATGACAAGGCAGCCCTGTTTAGGGAAGCTTTTAATGTTTGATGTATTACAGTATTTTAATATATATATATATATATATTTGGAAGCCGCCCAGAGTGGCTGAAGGTTATTATTATCATCATCATCATCATCATCATCATCATCATCTCTGTGTCGTGTTATTCAGACAGCAAGCTGCACACTAGATAGATTTTTCTGGTGTCTGAATTTCAAACAGCATTATACAGAAGTATCTGCCCAAATATTTCTCCCTTGCCACCCCTATCAACCCAATAAACACACAAGACGTAACTGGCTGCACTTTTGAACAAACAAGGTACACTATTCATTGTATCAAATTGTAGATTTCAACAGAATCCTTTCACAGAGTCTAAAACAAGGATTTCCGGAATATTAGCCTTGTTTCCCCATCCTAGGCTTCCTTAGCAGTACAGGCTCTAAGTAATGTGAATAAATACAATATCATAATCTCACACATTTTTCCAGTGAAAATAATATACAAAAACCATAAACAACTGTACATACCATATGTAATGTTACAGGATAGTAGATCTTATAGCATAGTAGTGGCTGCAGTAAGCAACATCTGTTACAAAGCAGGATTACTATCTTGTAAAATTACAGTTGTTTATGGTTTATTATTTTCACTGGGAAAATGTGTGAGATTACGATATTGTATTTATTCGCATTACTTAGAGCCTGTACTACTGAGGAAGCCTAGGATGGTGAAACAAGGCTAATATTCTGGAAATCCTTTTCTTAGACTCTGTGAAAGGATTTTGTGGAACTGTAACAACTCTTCATGTGGATTATTGGACTCTATGAACAGACAGGTGGAATAGACACTTATACATGTATGGACCTTATGCATGAACTGACTATAGAGTGAACTGATCCACTGGGTCTTCTGCTTTTTTCGTTGAACTTTATGAGACTTCTGTGAAATCTACAATTTGATACAATGAATAGTGTACCTTGTTTGTTCAAAAGTGCAGCCAGTTACTTCTTGTGTGTTTATTGAGTATGTTTCACGTAACCAGGGGTTTGTTGCTGTTTTACCCCTATCAACCCTGCTAACCAATCTTCCTGGGGCATCAATGCTCAGACCTGGAATCTTGGTAGTGCCCAAGTACTGCTGGTAAACCTTGAGCTGTGCAGAGCTGTGTCACATGATTACACACAGGTAATCATATGACACCTGCTGTATCATACCCTGGTATGGCTATGTGTCCAGTAGCAAGCACTGCATCTTCATGCAGGTAAGTTCCCTTCATAGCTTTGCACTTTGTCACTTGCAGGACATTTGTAGAAGACAGTTGACTAGGTTCATAATCACCAAACGTCATCGGACAAGGTTGGGGTTTGGGGTATACTTATGGCCCCCAGTTTGAGTGTCAATTACTCAGTTTGGGAGGGCGACACAAAATGTGGGGTTTGTGGTGCAAAACTAGCACAACACTTTGGCATCGGTTTGGAGGGGATCCAAAATTTCAGGGTCACACATTAATGAAGCTCAGCAGTAGCGAACTTGTAGGGAACCTGCAAGCAAGACCCAAGCACACAAAAGTCCTCTCCCTTCCTGTAGTTCCCCGCAACTGGTATTCAGAACTGTGGAGTCAACTCTAGCCATTCTGGCTAGTGGCTATCCATAGCCTTATCCTCCCTTCATGAAATTGCTCAATCCATCTGCGTTGTCGGCCATCACTTTTAAAGCTGTGCTCAACTGTGATGATAGCAAAATGTCTGGCCAGCAGAGTACCTTTTTTCTTCTTCTTAAGAAAACTGCATGGGAGGAAATGCGAGTTATTACAGTTTAAACAGAAGCATATGGGCAATTACATGGAAATTATGAAAAAGAATCTGAAAATTATTTACAGGGAAGCCCTAACAAGAATAACTTCTGTATAACAATCCCTAACGGGGCGGAGTTAACAGTCCCTAATGGGGCGGAGTGTGTGTGTGTGTGTGTGTGTGTGTGTATATATATATATATATATATATATATATATATATGTATGTATATTCACCCTTGATCACCAAGCAGAAGTTATCTGCAGCCTCTGAAATTCTCCCTGCCATACGCAGAAAAGGTAAGTAGAGAGAGTGGGGGGAAAGAGGGAGGGAGGAGGAGAGAGAGAGAGAGAGAGAGAGAGAGAGAGAGAGAGAGAGAGAAGTTGCCCTAGTGAGCAGGAGAGGCTGCCACATTGTGGCTTCTTCTATCAAGAAGCCAATTGTTGCTGGTGTTACTTACTCATACAGTGGTACCTCAGGTTACAGACGCTTCAGGTTACAGACTCCGCTAACCCAGAAATAGTACCTCAGGTTAAGAACTTTGCTTCAGGATGAGAACAGAAATCACGCAGAAGCGGTGCAGCGGCAGCAGGAGGCCCCATGAGCTAAAGTGGTGCTTCAGGTTAAGAACAGTTTCAGGTTAAGAATGGACCTCCAGAACGAACTAAGTTCTTAACCCAAGGTACCACTGTACAAGTAACACCTGCTATTTGGGAATGACTTTGCTGCCTTTGTTTTGTTTGTTCATCACTGCTCCTGTAAAAGGAACGTCAGATCGAGAGGTTTCAATTTCTTTTTCAGGGCCACACATGGCAAATACGACTCTGTCTGTAGTGGTGGCATTGCTACTGACATGTGGTGAGTATGTGCGGGGGGGGGGGGAATCCACGTACTTAAATTTTAGTCTCTCCCTTACGTCACTCCATTCAGATCAATGGCAAGCACACAGATAGAGAAACTTAAGAAGCTGTCCTTACGCTGTTGAGTTAGACTTGCAAAGTGCTCCCCTCCCCCTCCCCCCGGGTTTCAGATAATGGTATGCCCCAAACCTACCTGGAGGTTGAAGCTGGGACGTTCTACAGGCAAAGCAGGTGTTCTGCCCCTGAGCTAGGGATGCACTTGAAGCTGTCTATGTTCCATCTAATACGCTGTTGTCCATGCCAATGTTCTTCCACCTTGTGTCCTCAGGTGTTCCTGGACTACAACTCCCATCATTCCCAGACAGCTTAAGCCAATGATCAGGGATGATGGGTGTTGTAGTGTTGGTGGCAAGGATAATAAAGGTATAAAAAATTGGGTGCCAGGATCCAGGTTTGATGAGGGAACCCCAGCAGAGATTTAAAATCACAAAATATTTAGCAAATAAAGCATGGAAATATAGGCTGTTGGACCTTTAAAAGATGCCCTTGTGAGTTCCAAAATGTCCTTCTTCCCACAGTAGAGGAATAGATCGCACACTTGGTAAGTTAAAAACGGTTTTACTTACAAACTCTTCAAAGCTTAGGTTCACGTGTTTTTCCATGTAGCAGTCAGAAAGGTTGCACAGGTAGTAAGACTTGGCTTATTTGCAAAGTGGTGAAAGTTCCTAAATTGTTTGGTACAGAAACTCAGGAATGGCTGATGAGAGCCATGCGGTTTGAGCTGGAGCAACCAGCTTAGAACCTCTTAACATGTTGAGCTTCTCAGGTAGTCTGAGGTCTAACTATGAAAGACAACACTTTATGTTGGGATATAGATAGATAGATGATAGATAAATGATAGATAGATAGATAGACAGAGAGACAGATATACATAGGTCCTCTCAGCTGATTCCTTTATATTTATAAAAGTTCTTCTCCTTCAGCCTCCTTTACCAAACCAGAGAGTCCCATGTTTGCTTTGTAAATACCCTAATGATTTGAGGTCCCCCCCCCCGACTGTTTTCAAGGTGCAATCGGAGTATGTGGCAGTCTCATCCAACTTGCTGAGATGATCAAAGAAATGACTGGAAAAAATGCCATACCAGATTACATGGCCTATGGGTGTTATTGTGGATGGGGAGGCAGAGGCATGCCAAAGGATCAGACTGACTGGTAAGCTAATAAATAGTCCACACGAACCTTCAGGGAACACCAGGATATGCTTCCTACAGAGCCAGACCCTCGGTCCATTGACCCAACCTCTATGGCTCTCCAGGGTTTCAGGCAGAAGTCTAGGCCAGACCTACCTGGAAATGTCAGGGTTTGAACCTGGGACCTTTTACATAAAGAACATGTGCTGTTCCACCAAGCTGTGGCCCAGAGTGGCTTAACCACCAACCCCACTTGCAAGGGAACTTTGGGAATTGTCGTTGTTTTTTTTAAAGGGATAGCGACTGCCTAACAATTCTCAACCTCCTTAGCAAACTATACATCCCAGGATGCTTTGGGGAGGGAGCCATGACTCTTTAAAGTGGTATGATACTACGCGGGTGGTGCTGTGGGTTAAACCACAGAGCCTAGGACTTGCCGATCAGAAGGTCGGCGGTTCGAATCCCCATGACGGGGTGAGCTCCCGTTGCTCGGTCCCTGCTCCTGCCAACCTAGCAGTTCGTAAGCACGTCAAAGTGCAAGGAGATAAATAGGTACCGCTCCAGCGGGAAGGTAAATGGCGTTTCCGTGTGCTGCTCTGGTTCGCCAGAAGCAGCTTAGTTATGCTGGCCACATGACCCGGAAGCTGTACGCCGGCTCCCTCAGCCAATAAAGCAAGATGAGCGCCGCAACCCCAGAGTCAGTCACAACTGGACCTAATGGTCAGGGGTCCTTTTACGGATGGAGCCACATGGGGGTATCCCTGCTGCCCTGCCTACCTGCAACTCACTTTTCCTTTCAGGAGTGTGGCCCTCCAAGCCCCTCTTTCTGGCCCTGAGTACTCTCCTCCAGGTCCATGCCCTCCTTGAGTTCTTTTGCCTGGCTGGAACATGTCCTTGAACTGATAAATGTCTCCTGCTTTGTCTTGAAGGAGGCTGGAGGGATGTGAATGGGAGTGTGGGAACCGTTATCTTTTGCACAGCTGAAAGGTAGCCTTTCTGTACAAGGAGAAGAGTCGCATCCTTTGCCCCAGCTGCTTTTCCTTCTGGCCCCGCCCACCACTGGCATGTGGCCCTTGGAAAGTTTCCCATGAGGTAATCTGGCTCTCAGGAAACGAAAAGGGTTACCTGCCCTTGTTATACACTGTTTCACTTTGTTCTTATTCCCCCCGCCCTCAGGTGCTGTCGTAACCATGACTGTTGCTACAAGAGAGTGGATGAGCAGGGATGTGACTCCAAACTTGCCACCTATTCTTACACCTACAAGTCAGGGAACGTCATCTGTGGTGAGTTGACCTTTGCAGAGCAAAACCAATGCCTTCAGGTGGACGTTTTGCCCACCTGCTCCACCCTGCTGTCCATATCTCTTGCCCAATGGGTCCCAAGAGCCCAACAACCAGCTGGCTACCGGGCGCTTGGGAACTGTAGTGCAAGGGGCATTGCTTTGGGAAGCGCCAAGCACAGGACTGGCAAGGTGCTTCTTTCTCTCCTCCCCAAACAACCCTGCCCCCTCATCATCAGCTGATGAAGGTGGGTGTGAAACCCTCTTGCTTCGGCTGCATGCACCTGTCTCCTATTCTGCGCTGCCAACTCAGAATTCACCCTCCCCCTTATGCCTATAGGGTGGCTGTGGTTTGGGGGAAATGGCCTTGATAATCAAACTGGACACACACAGCCTCCACCTACTATATGGTGGGCCAAGATTGAGATAGAAGAACAAGTCTTGCCGAAGCAGAGCCAGCATGGCTTCTGAAAGTCCTGCCTCACTCTTGGTGTTCTTTGAGAGGGTCTACAAGGACATAGGTAGATGTGACCCAGCTTCCCCAGAGCAACGCTCTGCCAGGGGCATGGTAGGAAATTAAGAGAGCGCCTAGGCTCAGCTGTCTGGTGATGTTGCCACCTTCACCACCAGATAGGTCTACCAGAATGGGGGCCCACCAGGTGACACATTGAGGACCAGCTCCATATCAGCAGTGGCGTCGCAAGGGGGGCGGTCTGTCCCAGCTGCCATGTCGGGGGGGTGTTGACAAGAAGGTACCCTGCAGGGTGCTCACCCCACCCAACCCTGGGTGCAGCGGCACGAGCAGCCATCGCCCAGCTGCGAGCAGAGGATGCTGCCACCGCCCGTACGGCGCTCGAGCAGTGCCGGCGGCAAACCGTTATGTACAACGCATGTGCGGTGTCGCACACATGCGCTGTACGTAGCAACACTGCAGATGTGCTGTACATAGCGGTTTGCCGCCAGCACTGCTTGAGCACCAGATGGACGGCGGTGGGATCCTGCTGCCGCCGCCGCTGCAAGCAGAGGGTCCTGCCACCATCTGTACAGCGCTTGAGTGGCGCTGGCGGCAAACCGCTACGTATAATGCATGTGCAGTGTTGCACACATGCGCTGTACATAGTGACGTCACACATGCACCCTACATAGCAACGCCACGCATGCACCGTACGTAGCAGCGCAACACAAGCAAAGCCGGCGGTTTGCCCCGCCCCAGGTGTCGGTTAGCCTTTGTTCGCCCCTGCATATCGGGCGGAGAGGAGAAAGACAACTCACGTTTGTGGAATGCTCTCCCCAGGGAGGTTCACTTGGTGCCTTCATTATACACCTTTAGGCGCCGGGTGAAAACATTCCTCTTTAACCAGGCCTTTGGCTGATTGAAATCCGATGCCCTTTTAAAATTGAAACAGGGGTTATTGGGTTGTCTTTGTTGTTATTATGTCTTTTCTGTTTTTCATATTGTGGTTTTATGCTGTGAACCGTTCTGAGACCTTCGGGCATAGGGCAGGATACAAATTATAATAATAAGTACTACTACTTCTGGCTGGCTTAAGAGACTGTGAGTTACAGACTCCCTCTCTCTCTCCTGCCCCCAGCCATCGCCTTAGTTACAGAATTTATTCCTTAGCCCAAAATACTATCTTGTTGTGTTGTCAGGAAACGAACCCTGGTATTGGGCAATGATTCCGGGTACTTCAATCCAGTGTGAGCGCCTGACCTGTGAATGCGACCAAAAGTTTGTGCAGTGCCTGAAAAAGAACTTAAAGACGTACCAGAAGAAGTACACCTATTTTCCCAACTTTTTGTGCTTTGGCCACCCTCCTCTGTGTCCTGCTGAGCCAAGAATGAGGTGGAGTAAGGAGGCAGTAGGGGGAGGGAGTTTGCATGGAATACAAAATTCAGTTCCGGTTTTGCATTTCCCTAAGGAAGACCTGGACAGAAATGCAGCTGCAATATCGGAAAGTTCCCTTCTTTCAACTTTGCAACGCTTTTCTCCAGCAAAAAAACCCATATACGAGTTCCGCTCGCCACATTCCTGCATGAAGCGAAAATGTTTTTCTTCAACCAGGCCTTGGGCCGATTAATATTCTACAGCCTTTTGAATGTGTCTTTGGCAAGGGCGGAGTTGTTGTTTTCCCGGTTTGTTTTACTTATTTACCTGTTTTTATCCTGTATTTTATTCTGTGAACTGCACTGAGATCTTATGATGAAGGGTGGTACGTATATAAATCTAATAAATTAATGCAAATAAGCTTGTGGTCTCCCTCCCCCCCCCCCCGAAAATGAAATACAGTCATGAAAATTCATCTGCACTTTTAGGGCATCTTTCCCTCAATATACACATTTTGAAGGCAATTTTCTCTGATAGAAGGCATGTTCTTTTCACTAATATCAGCTTATTCCATGGGCTCTGTCACCTGGGGGCAGCCATTTCATCTGGCGGGGAATCAGAAGGCTCGTTCCATCAGTTTTGCCAAAAGCCCAGCTCTATAAGGCCCCTCCTGCCCCCCGTTAAACCTCAAAAATATCCTGTTGTACTTGCGTTCCACGTCTTCATTGATGCTTTCTTTCCTGGTATCTTCTCCCTCTCTTCTCTTCCTTATTTTCCTTCTGTATCCCCCCCCCCCCGGTTTTCTTATCATTTTCAAATATCAATAATAATTATATGGGCGGGGGAACCCAAATGCCATACATAAAAATACATAAAATAAATATAAGTAATATTAGCATTGTTTGGCACACTTTCCTCTTATATACAAAAGACGGTCTTCTCCTCTGCTGGCCTGTTAAGGACATCCAAAGCAACACATGAAACATGGTTAACTTCTGCCACAGCCAGTGAGCTCAGCTTGGCGCCTCCCTCAGCTTGGTGCCCCAGCTGGCTGCTGGCAATGCCAAGGTAGATTTTTTCACCAGTGCCACCAGACAGGTGGGTCAGCTGGGGCACCAAGCTCAGAGAGGAAGGAAGCGCCAAGATGAGTTCAGTGGCTGGGGGTTGTTTTTTATGTACTGTCAGCAGTGAGCTAGGGAGACAAGAAGAAAGTGCTTGAACTGAGCTGAGGAGTTCAAGATGAATGCTGGGGCATGAAAGGGTCTGAAGAAGAGGACCAGGTGGTGGCTTCATCGCAGATGGAGAGGTGAAAATGGGTGCTTAGTGGTGGCAGGGGGAGGAAGATGCAGGAGGTTATCATGGAGGGGGGTTCTGTAGAAGCAGGGGTTGCACCAAAGGAGGGGAGAGGAGGGGGCATGTGTTATGTACTGAGTTGAATAGGATCCAAAATGCAGCAGTTTGATTGGTCCCAGAACAATAGGATTCAGAATGCAGCAGTCTGATTGGTCCCAGAACAATAGGATTCAGAATGCAGCAGTCTGATTGGTCCGCAGGAGCCACCCAATCCAACTCCAAGTGGAAGTGAATCCGCAACCTGATTGGCCTACAGGAGAATCCCGGAATTAGCCAATCACATGGGGCCCATTGTGTAAATAATGTATATAAAGCAGACATTTTGGGGGAACTGGCATTCCTCGCTACTATGAGCTGAAGAAAGAGCTCGACCCTGAGTATATTTCAGCATGGATGTGGGGGTGTAGGGGTAAAGAGGGGTACAAAGGGGTAGAAGTGGATGTGGCAATGGGGCTGGGAAGGTGAAAAGCAATCTGAGTATTTCCAAGGGGGTGGAAAGGGTTAGGGAGTTCATGTTAACTTCCAAGCATGGGGCGGAGGTGGGGAAGGGTTTGGTGAGTGGGGCAAGCAGGGGGACAGCTCCTAGTCTGTTTGCTTCTAGAGCCCAACCTCATCTGAACCAGATTGGTAAAACCATCTGAGCAGGCTAATTCTGGGAGTCCCATGGCAGGGGAAGCTAGCTCGTTTTTTGTTTCTGCTTTCCATATTCCTCCTTTTAAGCTCCAGCACCAACATTTCCTGCACAACTTGGTAAGAAGATCCTTCTAATAATAGTACAAATGTCCATACCCTGCTGGAGAAAGTGACCACTCGAGTTGCGAAAGGAGGATGGCAGCTACTGGTGGTGACCTTTGCTATTTTTCATCATTCTTCTAGAATGAAACCAGGCAGGCCCAGAGGCAAGATCTGTTGTCTTACTAGCTGGGGAAGGAACTGGCTAGAGAGGTTTAGGCATGTTAGTCCAGTCAAGGAGCAACTTCCTTTCTCACCTGGTAACTGGATATGGGGTCGTGGGATTTCCCCCTCACTAACAGTTTAAACTCTCCAACGGACTATAAATTCCAGTTGTCACATTTCTGAGGAGAGAAGGACAACCAAATCACAAGGAAGAAAGGGAGCCAGGTGTGATATCAACCCCCAAGAAGTTTTACGAGGAGGCTAAGCAAAGTAAGTACCACTGCCGTTGGTTTTGCTTAACAAATTGTTTCATGCTGCAAAACACCAAGCCATCAGTTTTAGAAGGAGGTTGGACAAATTTGAGGGAGAAAAGGCTCTCAATGGCTGCCGGCCATGATGGCTCTATTCTGGCTCCACTGACAAAGGCAGCAGTGCTTCTGAATTTCAGTTTCTGAAAAACGCACATGTGGATCCAGCCACGTCGTCGCTGGGATTTTTCACCCCTGGAAAGAATGGCACCTTCTGCACAAAAGGAATTGACGTTCTCTCATGTAAACCCCCAGTTTTTCATTCATCGGATGAAGACAAAAAGATCTGTCAAAGTTCAATTTGTATTCCCCCCGCTCCTTCTTAAATTCACTTCTCTACATTTCTGCTTTGTTTTTTAAAAAGTCTTCCTGAAAACTCATCAGCATTCTTTGTATGCCCTTCTGACTAACTTTTTTTTGCAGGCAATTTCCCCTGATTGTTTGTTTGCTGACGTTTCAAATCAAGTGCTGACAAAACAGATAATGCAATTCAACGGCAACATAAATATTCATTTGAGCTGAAACACAAACATTTCTTCTGTGGGTGGCAACGGGGATCGAAACCAAAGTGGGTTTTGTCGGAGAGGAGTAACACCACAATTGTGACTTCCCTAGCAAGTCTGTCAGGTGCCCCTTCTCCCTCAGAGCTCCTCCAATGGGCACCACCCCTCTACCTTTCCCTCCACTCTTTCTTGGCTCCATGAGGCAAAGCCCCACCCCCCATCCTATGCCTCTTCTTATTCCCCAACACTGCTTGACCCTTCTCCATACCTCTGTCCACCCCCCACCCCCACTTCTCAATTCTGTCACCCCCCAGCCTCTCTGGGCCTTGGCCAGACTTGCCACCCCATCTCTGACCTTCTGCTTCCAGGCCTAATCAGGCCCCTCTTTCTTGGGCCAATCTGCTCTTTTAAACACCTAACGTTACTATGCTGTCCTTGTATCATTGTCCGAGACAGAAATCCATGCCACAGGTGATTGTGAGGCCAAGGAGCGTGGGGAGGAGAGGACGTGCTGGCATTTTTGCTAAAAGGCCAGACTCACATAGGACCCAAATTTGATCCGGCCAGCTTCCTAGTTGCAGACCTGTCCTTTAAGAAGGAATGGGCCAAATCTCAGGGGTTGACTGCCAGCCTTCCAACTCCCCTTCAAACCAATACAACCCTTGGCATTTTACTGTGTTTAGGATGAACTGTTTGTGTTGTTGAGCCATCTTTGAGGGGGTGGGGGGTGGCTGATATCGAAAGGTGGAATACGGATCCTCTAAACAAATTGAAAAACTGTGCCACCTCTCCTTTAGGTCTTTATCAACGGAAGATGAAGATCTTATGGGGATCAATGGTGTTGCTGGTTTGCAGTAAGTAGAATCATAGAATAGGGTGGGAAAGGGACCCAAGGGTCATCTAGTCCAACCCCCTGAAATGCAGGAATCTAAAAGTAACAGGGAGAGGAGAGATTAAATTATGTTGTGCTAACAAAAGGAAGGGGGCATACCTTTTTTAAAAAGTGTACCCCCCTTCAAACTTGACAAAGCCTACTTCTGAGGAGACCTTCGTAATTTTGGGGAATTCGAATCTGAGCAACCGAGGTCAAAATTGCAGCAGTTTGGTCTTCTTGATAAATTAATCCAGAACACATTTGCTTCTCCAGCCATCATCAGCTGTGGCTTCACCTACCCCCACCCCTATGTGGCTCCCAGCAGATTACCTCTGAGAGGATACAGCCCTCAATGGCGGGTGGGGGGGGAGGTTACCCACTTCTGACATGTATCAAATCCCAAAATGTATTAAAAATGCTAATTCATTTATGGATACCACCACCACAAGGTGTAGTGATAGCCGCTAGCACAGACCAATTTATTAACGAAGAGAGGTGGATCAATATTTGCTAGAGAGTATTTGCCCCATTTTCAGGAGCACCGAATACCGTTTGGTAGAAGGGAGAGGTGGAGAAGCAGAACAGCTAGGACAGATCCTTTTCCCTAATAAGCCAAGCACCTGACGCCTTGTCCGTTTCTTTGCAGGTGTTTTGGCAGTAAATGGGAACCTCTTTCAGTTCGGAAGAATGATCCAAAAGCTCACTGGGAAAACGTCTTTCCCCCACTACACCACGTACGGGTGTTACTGCGGGGTGGGTGGCCAAGGCAAACCGCGAGACGACACCGACCGGTAAATCAATGGCTTGTGGGTTGTTGTTTTTTACATAACTGATCACCTGGTTATTAAAGAAGCGCTGTGCTGGAAAGGATTTGTTGGTGTGGGGTCACTTGTTCTAGCCAGGTGGGGGGGTATTGAGTCGGTTCACCACACTGGAGGCTTTCATTATCCTCAGAAACATCCCCCCGCCCCACCCCAGATAGGCAGAAGGTTCTGAAATGGGAAGTTTTGAAACAAGAAGTCAAAAGGTAGCCCATGACCACATTCACACCATACATGTAAAGCTCTATGAGACCACTTTAAAAGTCGTGGCTTACCGCAAAGAATTCTGGGAACTGTCGTTTGTCGCTGAGAGTTGTTAGGAGACACCCCTATTCCCCTGGAAAAGCTACAGTTCCCAGTTTTCTCTGGGAAGAGGAAATTATTGTTAAACTACTCTGGGAACTGTAGTTCTGGGAGGGGAATAACTCTTGGCACCCTTAGCTCCCACATACAGCTCCCAGAATTCTTTATTGCCCCTGGTAATGGAGCAATAAAAGAACAAGATGGGGACCCCCTTTAATTCCTGATTGTCGCCATTTGATAAATTCATGGGCGTAAAATAGTACCGTTGTTTTAATTATCGGTGCAACTGATGCGTGTACCTTATACTGTACCTATTTTTTTATTAAGATGTGTATAAATAATCAAATAATAATAAAAAGAGCACCTTTAGCTCCCTCAGGCAGGTGAACAGCTTAGATTTCTCTAAAGGAGATTTCTCTTCCTTTTCCACAGCTGCTGCCTGGCCCACGACTGCTGCTACGAAAAGTTGAAGGACTGTAACGCCAACACCGACATATACAACTATTCCATCGACGATGGAGTTATTACTTGTGGTAAGTAGCGACAGGAGGAAAATTGGGTTGCATCCCTTCCTTTTTGGAGGACAGACAATTCCTACATACCATGAACTAAAGGCTATTGTGCGCCTGCCAATTTCACTAACGATCCATCGAAATTTGCACTCCTCCGACAGATGGCCATCCTACCTCTGTTTAAAATGAATCATAGTAACAGTAGAGTTGGAAGGGACCCCAGAGGTCCTCTAGTTCAACCCCCTGCAAAGCATGACTCACAGCTAAAGAATCGTAGAATCATAGGCTTGGAAGGGAACCCCAAGGGTCATCCAGTCCAACCCCCTGCGATGTAGGAACCACAGCTAAAGAAACAATGAGAGATGGCCATCCAACCTCCAATGAAGGAGAGTCCACCACCTTCCAAAGGAGTCCCCTCTCCACTGTCGAACAGTAAGGTTTTGCATCCCAAATTCAACCCCTGGCATTTCCTAGTACAGCTGAGAGAGACTCCTGCTGGACATGCCACTGGGGACCTTCTACATGCATAGCAATTGCCCTACCACTGAGCTATGGCCCTTCTCCGTGTTCCTTGTTGGTAGCTGCCTAAACCACATTGCCACAGAATCACTGACTCGGTTGATCGCATTTTTATCCTCCACTTCCTCCGAGCAGCTCCCTGCATCTTCCTACCAACCCTATAAGGTTGATTACTCCGAGAGAGTGATTACTCTGCAGAAAGGGTGCATGGTTCAGCTACAGAGCACCTGCCTTGCATGCAGAAGGTCCCAGCTGGCCTCTCAAGGTAGGGCTCAGAGAGACTCTTGCCTGCGCTTCCGGTGAGCTGCTGCCAGCCAGTGTAGACAATACCCTGCTAAATGGACCAGTGGTCTGACTCAGCATAAGGGAGCTTGCTATGTTCCTACGCATTAAGGAGGCTTGGCTCTGTGGCAGGGCACAAGGTCCCAGGCTCAATCCCTGACATCTCTAGGTAGGGCTGGAAAAGACTCCCTGGTCAAAGCCCTGGAGAGCTGCTGCCAGTCATTGTAGACATTATTAATCTAGGTGGGCAAATTGTTTGGCTCTGTATAAGGTGGCTTGCTAGGAGGCACAGATGCAGCCCTCAGCTGTTTGCAGAAAAGGCAGGATGACGACATGACAGGCTCCATCTGTTCTCTCAACAGGTGAAGGAAGCAGCTGTGAAAAGCAGATCTGTGAATGTGACAAAACAGCAGCCCTCTGCCTGAAGGACCACCTGGACACTTACAATGAGGAGTATCGCTTTTACTTCGACAAGAACTGCAAGGAAGGGCCGATGAAGTGCTGAGCTCAGCCCCTGCAGGCCCAAAGCTGCATTGCAACTCCTCTTCAAAAATAAAAAAAATTAAGCTTGCAGTCATCGTGCAATGTTGTCCTTTCGTTGGGAGTTTGGGGAGAAACTCAGCTTGATTTACAGAGCCCAGTTAGCTGAGGGAGGATACTCTCTCCTTTTGAGGGTCGCACAGCAACCACTCTCATCCCCATCTCTCAGCTCATGGTGACCCCAATGACAGCTTTCTTCTTTGCGTTCGGTCACAAGTGACCCTATCAATAGACTCCATTGTGCAGAAACTAGTTTCGAACAGGTCCGCCAGGAAATGTGAGCTCCTATCATACCGCTTTGTGCCTCTTGACTGATCAGGACATCCGGAAAGCAAGACAATACATCAGTCCTGAGCTAAAAGGGCATGTGAGCCTTTAGTGAAAAGCTGTAACTGAGCGGTGGAGCATCTGCTTTGCATGCAGAAGGTCTCTGGTGCAATCCCCAGAGGCATCTCCAAGTAGGACTGGAAGAGAAAACCTGCAGAGGCACTGCCAGTCTGTGTAGACAATAATGAGCTAGAGGGAACAATGGTCTGAGCTGGCAGAAGGCAGTTTCCTGTGGCCCTGTGTAATTGGGATCCTGAGGCCCAACAGTTCCTTCCTTATTCCTGTGGGGTGTGTTGGGTTGAGGACTAAGCTGGGTGGACCAATGGTCTGACTTTGGAAAAGGGCACAAAATGGCCATTGTGGGATGTGTGGCATACCCTCCAATGTTACTCCAATAAAAAATAGGAATGTCCTATTCCATAATAATAATAATAATAATAATAATAATAATAATAATTATAATTATACCTGCCCATCTGACTGGGTTGCCCCAGCCACTCTGGTGGCTTCCAATATATATGAAAACATGATTAAACATTAAAAAACCTTCCCTATACAGCAGTGGCGTAGCGTGGGTTGTCAGCACCCGGGGCAAGGCAAGTAATTTGCACCCCCTAACCCGTGGATTTGCTCCCCCTAACCTGTGGATTTGCGCCCCCTAACCCATGGATTTGCCCTAACCCCAGATGTTGCACCTGGTGCGGCCGGCCCCCCCTGCACCCCCCACGCTATGCCACTGCTATACAGGGCTGCCTTCAGGTGTTTTCTAAAGGTTGTATAGTTACTTATCTCCTTGGGCATAACTCCAGAGCCTCCAACATTTCTCCAATGAAAATAGGGACGTCCAAAGGAAAATAGGGACATTCTGGGATCAAATAAAAAACCAGGACCCCTTCTGTAAATCCGGGGCTGTCCCTGGAAAATAGGGACACTTGGAGGGTCTGGCAAAGGGCTGCCACATCTAAAAAGGGACAAGACCAAAAAATAGGGCGTGCAAAATGGGGAACAGGGCCTACACATCAGCTCCTAACTGATAGAAACACTTTGCCCCTCTTCCCTGTTCACAATGGAGTGTCCCTATCCTAGCATCCGCTGAAACATGGGCATGTTTAATAGACCATGTTCAAAGCTGGAGACGCTAAGTCAATGCAAAGAGGAACTGAGCAGGAAGAGCTAACAGCCTCTTGCACACTGTGGAGGTTTGAGGGGCTATTTATGGAGACCTTTTGTGGGAGCCGCAAGAGGTCCTGGCTGGCACACACGCACCTGCAGGTGCCAGGTTGGCAACCCCCGGATCTTCTCAGTAGGCTTCGCTGATCATAGCACGAGGGGAGGAACGAGGCAGCAACAGGAGTGAAAGCTTGTCTCAAAAGAAGTGCAGGAAGACCGCAGAGAAGGCGGCAATAGCCCTCCTTGCCCTGCATTCTGCAGATTCTTTTGGCGCAGTGTTTTACCAGCCCTTTGCATAGGACAGCAGAATCTTGATGCAACCTTCGTAACACTGTACAATTGCACCAAGGTTCCTTTTTGGCAGTGTTATGCATCAGTTACACACACTGAATACAGGTCTGGCCCTACCATTAGGCAGAAGAAAGTGGTGAACTCCAGTGACAGGGAGCGGCAGGGAAGCCTGTGGCCTGCCTTGCAGAAGCAGAAGAAAACACTATCCCATCACCAGTGTTTAAGTAAGATACCTGTCCAGCCAGGTTCTTTACACATAATTCTTTTTTAAAAATTCAGTTTTACACTATATATTTGAATTCAAACAATAATAGCAAATATCAACATATAGGATTCCCTGAATCCTTAGACTTCCCTCCACCCTTCATCATTTCCATAATCAAACTTTATCTACTGCATCATATAATTTCTCCATTTTTCTTTTTTTAAAAACAACAACAACAATTTTTACCTTACTGTAGTTTTAAATACACTACAAGTGTTACTAAAATCGTGCCAAAGTTTTTTATTGTTTACAGTGTTCTCTTAGGTAACTTGCAAATTTTCCCCATTCCTTATTAAAGTTGACCAGGAAAATCAGAAACCAGGAAGATAGAATCTTGACACATATTTCTTTGCACATAATTCATGTCAGGCACCAAATGGCAGATTCAGAGAGGAGGAGGGAGGTCAGTGTCTTAAAAATGCACCAATGGAGCCAGTTCCTGCACTCCTTGCTAGTGTGCTTGCAGTGCACTGTCCTCCGTACTGCCTCAGTCCTCCTCCTCCTCCTGTTAAGAAGCAGTGACAAACCCGGTGGGAATCTAGCATAGAGCCTCTGCTGCATCCAGTGAGCTGAACCTGGTCTTAGGTAGGCTGCAACGGAATGATCAGGAACACTTCCCAACCCATGTTGAAGTGTGTGAGTACACCCCGGTAGGCCCCAGTGAGGATCTGAAGACTCTCAGCTGGGTCCTCCGAGATCTCCTTCTTGGGGGAGGACCACGCCACCTCAAAAAGGAGCTTCACCGCATCTCTCACCACCGTAGCTGTGACAAGTGTCCCTGGAATTTGGGGACTAGTTTGCCTCTATGGATGGGCACGTCCCGGGAACGCCTTCATGTACTCAAGGGCCCTTAGTGAGAACTGTCAATATTGATACATCCTTTCCTAAGGCTATGGAGTGAACTGGCACAGAACAATAGCCTGAGTGTATGTGTGTGAAAGAGTGCATGTGTGTATATATGGTATACTGTAGCTTGCAACTTCCTGACTTCTTCTGTCCTATTCTAAGGAACATTCATTTCATTCTACTGATTTGGACAAACCGTGCAAAGATGGGGTGTTCGCTTGGGGTCCTTCTGCTTCTCCTGTGTGGTAAGTGCATGTTCAAGACAGTCGCATGTCTAAAGGATGCCAAATCTAAATTTTCTAATACCTCAGTACAGAAGAAGAGTTGCGTTGGTCTGTTTTAACATTTTAGCAACCAAGATTCACACGTGTTCTTTTCTTTTCTTTTTAAAATTATTTTTATTAAGATTTTACAACGTTTTAGCATAATCAAAAATTCAAATTACATTTTCAGTTAACACCCACCCCCTAACTTTCCCCAGCTTCCCTTTCTGGTTTAGAGCATTTTTATTTCTTCTGCTTATAATTTTATATGCCTTATGTACTAAAATTAAAGTTGTACCTCATCAATCTGTTCTTAACATTTTAACTTCATTTTTCTATTTTCTATTTATATTTGTCCGTTGTAAGTGTATTACTCGCATCCTGCAAGTGAGTTCATTTCAATGCATTGTTTCTGTGTATATATCATAATAGGTTCCCAATCTTTTTGAAGTCATTGTTGTCCTTATCTTTGAGTCTCTCAGTTAGCTTCATTTCAGTGTATTCCATCAACTTTTCTTGCCATTGCTCTTTCATGTATGTTATTTTCAAGGATAGGCATTATACTTGTAATGACATGAACTGTTCTCATGTGTGCTATTATTCTGTAGATTTTAGCAAGTGCTTAGGCATTCCTGAAACTGTCGGGCTTCTCCGCATTATAGGAGGAACACATGAACCTAAAAGGAACCAGGGAGGGGTGATGAAAGAAAAGTTAGGGGAAGAAAATGCAAATTAAATGTATGGGGGTCAGGGAGAAGAATTGACAGAAGAGCAGTAAAAAGAATTTTCAGGGTGGCAAACCTGAAATGAAAAATCCTTCTAAAACCAGATCACCCAATTCTGCCTGAAGTGGTGAAGGCAAATGAAAATAGTTCCAGAGCTAATGTCTGTGCTTAGTTTGATGAAAGCTGAAATCAAGGAAATCACTGTGGCGTAGGTGATGCATGGTTTTTGTGCTTGTGTGTATGCTATTTCCGAAAGAGGGTTTAGATAGGGTTGTTGCTCATTGCCAGCTGATGAGCCAAAAACATCACCACCACACCCTTTCAGTGCCATTTTGTGACTGGCAAGCCCTTGTCGTTTTAAGCTCCCTTAGGTGGGCCAGAAATTCTGCAAAGTTCTGCTTTCAATCCATCCAAAGTTCAGGCTGAGCAACGCAACAAAACAGGAGCACTGGGATTTCCCTTCCCTATGAAGAAAGGTTGCAGCGCTTGGGACCTCTTAGTGAGTGGTACATGACATGATAGAAGCATGTACAATTTTGCATGGCAAGGGGAAAGTGGACAGAGAAAAGTTTTCCTCCTTCTCTCCTAACACCAGAATGGTGAAGCTGAAAGTTGGAGGATTTGGGACAGCTAAAAGAAAGTTCTTCATGCAGCGCAGTGTTAAACCACGGAACTCCTTCCAACAGGAAGCAGTCTTGGCTACCAGCTTGGATGTCAGTTTCCCATTGGGGCATCTGCCTGGCCACTGTGAGGACAGGATGCTGGTTAGATGGACCCCCTTTGGCCTGATTTGGCTAAAGGTTCTTCTTAGGTTCTCAGGCAGGCTTCTTGCTTCCAGCTCTCTCCTTAGGAAGCAGCAACCTGATCCAGTTTGCAGATATGGTCCGTCAGATGACGGGAAGGCTGCCCTCTCTTTTTTACAATGGGTACGGATGTTACTGTGGACTTGGAGGATCCAGAAAGCCCATGGATGAAACTGACTGGTGAGCGGGACTCTCGCTGAGAACAAGGGGTGAGGGAGAAATGGGATTCCTTTCTTTGCATTTAAAGGCAAACCTACCTAATTTACACTCCCTGAAATGAAACACAAACGGAAATGCAGCCGTTTTGAAATTTGCACTTTGACCAAATTTGCAGTACCATCCT